AAGGACAGGCACCCCATGGACCCGGCGACGCCGCAGGGACCGCCCGCTCCGGCTCCCAGGTAACCAGCACTTTGACTTCGGTCAGTTCCAGCTCCGGTTTCTCAATCTATGGGAAAAGCTTAAAACCCTCACCCAGTTCAGGCCTGACTCACACAAAATCTAGTTCCAAAGGCTCAGGGTGGGTAAAGCTACTCCTGATAGGAAGGACATGTCAAAAGAAGCTCCTCCACAACAGAAAAATGAAGCAGTAAAACCCTTATACGGTAAGAAGAGAAGTTCTGCTCCTGATCCTAACTCACACTGTAGAGTTAGTGGCAACTCCTTATCATGTCTCATTGCTGTCCATTCACTGCAGCAATATAGTCAGGTCACCTCTGGATTTAAAACCAAGTCACATCTGGATGTAAAACCAAGCCTTTATGGTCTGATTTGTAATCACATCTGTACTTATATCCAGGTCACATATGGATTTATAGCACACATCATGTATGCAAAGATGTTTCTCCTTCCCACGTGCCACTTGTGGTGCCACAGGATCATCCCTGCCCAGGGATGCACCATTTAAAGGCTTCACAGTGCATTCAGCTGGATTAGCTGGGAATGGGTTTTCAGGCATCATTAGTCTGACACAGTTCAGCACTTACAGGAGGAGGTTTGCCAGGTCAAGGATTCCTGGACTGAGTTCCTGACATATAGTTCCTTGACATGATATTCCAGCTAACCACTCTGACACAAATGCAGTATTTCCTGTCACAAAGCAAGGTGGGTGATGCCTGGCAAAGGGACAAGCACTTGGAATGGAGAGGAGATTAAAACTGTTACAAACAAACATCATAAACCACAAAACCTGTGTGCAGGGAGGGGAAAACACACTCACTTCCACACATTGGGAGGCTTTGTGGACAGATTCCTGCTCTAAGGAAGGGAGAACTGTGGCACAGGAAGGAAAAACGGATCATGGATTAGTTTCAGGCACTTGAGCTGCACAGACTGTCCCAGCAGGTACACCTGACACACACCTGCACCCCCAGAGTGCACAGCAGAGCAGCTATTAGCCTCCCTAAAACAAAACACACTGAAAAAATGAAGCTTCTGTCCACATCTTCCAGGTTTTTATTCCACTTCCTTTGCAATTAAAGAACTGTTTCATTTCCAGACCCCAGAGACAACATATTATAGAGATGATTCACCCAATTTATTGCCTGCTGCACCAAAAGTAACATTTTAAGAGTTAATTATTGAACTACGACTTACTGCTATGTACTTTTTTGGTAGTAAAGTGTCTGTTTGGACTTCAGTGACCATTTTTAAGGCCTCCCCCTTTTCTGTAGGCTATCCTAAGGATTAATTTCCTGGAGAACAAAGGCAAAGCTTGAGCTTTAGCTGGAAGCCAAGGCAGTACAACACCAGGGTGAGACAACAGCAACACACATCAAGGCCATGACTCAGAGTAAGACAATCTCTTCCCAGCAATCCCCAAGTGAAGCTGGAAGCAGCATGGATGTAAAATTACCTTGTTTTCCTATAAACAGGGAGAAAAATGGGAATTGTCCTCCAGGGAACAAGAAAAAAATACTGTCAACAAGCACATGCACAAAGGGTTTGGGAGATCAGAAGTTTGGCTGCTCTTCAGTGACTAACAGCATGTCAAAAGCACTTGGAACCAGGAGCACAGTGAGTTGAGGGCTTGGAATTGTCACCTCTGTGGGCAATGGGGTGACAAAGAGCAGCTCAGCCGCCAGGGACAGAGCCCACCACCCTCACAGGCTGCACATCAGCACTCAACACCAAAGTGTGGCAACCCGGGAGGCCCAAGCCAAGCCACAGGCACAAAGTGAATGTTGGCCACTGCTGAGTTCTGTCCTCAGAACACACAACAGACACAGAAGTCATGGCTACATGTGGCAGGACACACAGCCTAGTTGTGGCTGGGTTAAAGCTGGTGGGTCACTGTCCAACGCAGAGAAAACGGTTGGATTTTGGATTACGAACAAACCAGGGCACAAAAGACGCAGTTTAACAGCAGCTTCAGGTGTGCAGTTACCCTCAGCTCCCTCCTCCTAAGGCCACTTGTGGGACCAAGCTGAGGTGAACCATGAAAGATCTGAGGCCACAGAAGGTGGAATTGGCTAAGAGAGGGGAAAAAAGAATAAAGCCAAGTTTATGTGTAAACACAAGATGTCTGGAGCAACACAACTAATACCTGGAGATACCATCACACCGTCACAGACAGGTGTATCAAAGTCCTACCAATGGACAAACAAGCAGCAGATCTCAGTGCTGTTCCTTCATCAACAGCCACAACTTGTTCTCTGCACAACAACCAACCCCAAAACCACACACAGAACCTGCGTGGCTCAGGCCAGAGCACGGAACAAAACCCTCCTGAGGGATGTGAGGGAAGACATAAGACTCAAGAACCAAACACTTGGGTTTAGAAGCAATTCTGCTTTCTTTTTTAGGCTAGAAAATGTACAGTTCCATTCCATAAGTGTGCACAGAGCTCTTATACTGTCAAAGAAACTGAGCAAGTCTTTGCAAGAAATTGTTAATTCTTCAGACATTGATACGTTTTGCAATACACCAGTTAAATACCAAGGTCTATGTGCATGCACTGCAGATCTGCAGGTACACCCCATGTTGAACAAAGACAGCAGATTCCCTGCCCCAAGGAGCCTTGGAGACACCAAAAAATAGGTTAAAAAGTTCAATTCTTTACCTGCCTTTGTTAAGTACAGATTGGAGATTGCCTTCCCTTCTTTTCCATGTGCTCCCAGTGAGGCAGACAAGGGGGAATGACCAGATTATCCCACAACCAAAGAGAAGCACCTTGACGAATTCCAACTAAGCTCTGTAAAATGTCTTTTCCATTCTTCTTGGACACTAGGACTGAGAGAGGACATTTCAAACACAGATTTGGTTCACTTTGCTGCACTCCCCAGACACATCTCCCATCCTCCCTGGGATTAAGGCCACGTGCACTTCTACAACACCTCAAAGCATCCAGCGGCCATCCCAACTGCCTGCTGTCCCTTCAGGATGGGAATTCTGGACACCCTGTGCATGGGCCAGACATGCCATGAGGTGCTACAGCAGGGAGAGGGAATCCCCTAGTCTTCTGGCACTGCTCTGGGACCATGCAAGGGAGTTGGATCCTCCAGAAGTTCTGCCCTGGTGCTTGTATGAGTCACTGACAGCTCTTCAAGTAGTCACCTGCTTTGTCCCCATGCAGTTCCCTCCATTGCACAGAGAGGTATCTCTACATTTTACACAGCAAGGAGAAGTTTTCCTCTGAAAAACCTTTCATCAGAGCATGACTCATAAGATCCCAGTGGGATCCAAACACACCTGTGTGCCTCTTCTTTGGTTAATTAAACAGAAGATGACATTTTTTCCCTTTATGACAGCTAAAGGTACTTCTGGTGGCCTTGAACCACACAGCACTGCAAGGAAGGACAGCAGCAGGGCAGGAGGTGCACAGTGCATCACCCAATCCAATGAGGACTACAATAAGACAGGAAAATCTGTTTCATTTCAAACTCTCTGGCAAATTCCTACTGTTCGCCAACACCATCACTGAAGCCCAATCCTTTCCAGCATCCTCCCTAACCAAAAACCACGTGGAAAACAAACCCTGGGCTGAAGGGAAGGAGTTTGCCTGTCAGGCTGTGGTGAGCCAAGATCTGATTGATGCAGGGAGGCCCAGGGGACAGGAGTTGTGACATGGTGACACTGCCACACCCAGTATTAGTCCTGCTGCCAACATACTGATTCAGCTTTAAACACTGGTCTGAACAGATTGCAATGGACCTAAAACTGAGGTATAAATATACACAGATATGTACAGTACACACACAGGAAAATAGATTTGCATTTGTAACATTAAAAACCCTGAAGAGTTGGTGTCTAGGCCAGGTATTTGCCTGCTGATTTACTGGGATAAGGAAGCCAACAGCTTGGACTAGAGAGGACTACAATGGAATAATAAAACCTCAATGAAAAGCTCCTTCCTCTTGCTCCATCTTCACCATGCCCAAGGCTTGGACTGTTCTGCAGCTTGGAAAGAAGGCTGGGTACAGCTCTGAGACACATCCTCAGAGGAGATCAAAGCAAACCAGAGCCAAGAGCTGTGTCTCTCCTCCTGCAGACTGAATCGAGTTCCTGTGCACATGTGTGTGTGCAGCTATGTAGAAAATAAAGTTGCAATCATTTCAGAATAAATACACCTCCCCCAACGACTCTGCCCCTGGGGGAACTGTGGGGGCAGTTCTCCTGAAGCAATGTCTGTGCAAAGAGGGCAGTAAAAATCATCTGATCTTAAGTCTTGACATCATCCACTCCAGTCCTTGGCACAGTCTGTGGACAGAGGAGAGAATGTTTAAGGAATACATGCACTGGGTAGCTCCAAAGGTAATTCCACAGCATCCACTGAAATGCTTCTTAAGAACCCTGAATCATTTCTAGGAATTCTCCAGGCCAAGTGTGGCATTTCCTGGATCTCATTATGCAATCTGAGTGACAGATTTCAGATCCTGACACTTCAGAGAGACTGAATTTTAGAGAGACTATTTACAAGGGCCTGGAGGAACAAGACACAGGGAATGGCTTCAAACTGACAGAGAGCAGGGTTAGATGGATATTGGGAAGAAATCCTTCCCTGTGAAGCACTGGCACAGGTTGCCCAGAGCAGCTGTGGCTGCTCCATCCCTGGGAGTGTTCCAGGCCAGGTTGGATGAAGCCATGAGCAACCTGCTCCGGTGAGAGGTGTCCCTGCCCAGGGCAGGGGTTGGAACAGGATAATCCTTAATGCCCCTCCCAAACCATTCCAGGTTTCTGTGATTCTTACTGACAGGGAAGGAATGTGTATTAAAACCAAACACCACAATAAACCCCCCAAAACAATCCCAGCTCCCCCTCCTATGGGTATGAATCCCTCTTACCCCTCTCCAGTTAGAGCACAGCATGCCTGAATGTGCCACTGGTGATCCTTGATGGAAGTCAGCTTCAGGAACTGCGAGATCTCTGTGACTGTCATGCACTCCTTCACATCCTGCTTGTTAGCAAAGATCAGCAAACCTGCCTTCTTCAAGTCCTTGGGGGAAACCAGAGCAGAGGAGATGATCAGAGAGCAGCAAAGGATGTGACAGCAATGTAGAGAGCCCCAAGCCCCAGCCAGAAACTGCTGCAGGCTGACATTGAGCTGCAGGAAACCCTTTGAGCCAGCAGACCAAATACCCAGGCTTTGCCCTGGATGGTGAGTAAAGCTCAGTGTGAAGTCCCGTTGTGCTCCAAGAGGATCAGAGCATCCTATATCCCTGCACCTGTGCAGCACTGATAATCTGGGAGCAGTGACTCCAAGCACAAGCTGCTTGGAATTTCAGTGGTGCAGGCATGTGCTATTGGAAAGTTGTCCCTGGGAAAGGAAAAATGTCTTCCCAGGAAGCCAAGCCAAGTCAGGCACTTAACTGCCTACCAGCAACACTAATGTTTACAAGCAGCAAAATTAATGCCCAAATGATCCAGAAAACAGTTG